AGGTCGAACGTGAGAATCGCCTTCTCGACAGACCAACACTCCCGATCATGGTCGTCGTCGGATGGGCGGGGAACGATGTGCACGGGGACTTTGGATACCAAGGGTGTACATGGATTCACCAATCCAATCTCACGAAGTCAGAAGCCGACCGGAAGGTCGCTGCCGAGTACGTCGACAAGCAGTACAAGAAGGTGCAGCGATCCCTGGATGGACTGGTTGAGATTTCAAAGGACCCCCGTGTCATGTCTGTGCAAGTCATCGGGAACGGTGACCATTCCGGATACTCATTGCCGCCATCTTACAATCGTGAGATGGGCAAGCACATCAACTGGCTGGCAGAGCGCGGCATTCAATGTGTGAACTCCACTATGCTCGCTCAGGGTGGTAAATACGACAACTACCACTTGCACGACCACCAGTTTAACCGGAAACTGGTTTATCGTTTCTTGAGAGGAGCCATCACCTTCCACCTCAAATACGTTGAGCTCATGTCGAAGCAGGACGAGCTCAGGTACTTTGTGAAGAAGTTCATCAGCAACGAACAAGACCGTGTGGCCGCGGTCCATCTCTTCCCCACGATGGTTCAGTTTCGTTTGGCTTTGCTCGGCACTCAAGAGGTCATGGAAGCCGTCTCCACTGAGAAGAAAACGGCAACCCCTGCCCAGGTCTTTGATGAGGCAGATGAGGAGATCCTCATGTGGGTCCATGCAGGAATTCTTGAGGCCAACGAGGAAGCCACCCGGGAGGGAAGGCCGATGCCCACAGCTTTCACTGATGAAGAGATCAGCTCCATCGTCCCAATTGACCCTTCGATCGAGGACTATGAAACCGAAGAGTTCAGGGCCCGACAATACCTTCAAGAAGATCTGAATCAGGCCGCTGCTGATGGTTTCTCAACCACAACCATTGAGTCGATCGAGATCAATCCGGAGAACACTGATGTCGAAGATGATGTTGAGGTTGTTCCCGAGTTTGATGAATGGGACGTGATCCTGGACGAGAAGATCATTGTCAACCCCCATGATGAGAAGGTCAAGGAAGATGAAATCTCGGAGGACAGAGCCAAGGAGGTTGCGGATCTCAACAAGATCATCGAGATCACATCCACTGAGGCAAAGCCTTCGGGAACGTCGGCCGATGACCCTGCTGCTGCAAAAGATGCACCTGCCAAGGTTGACCAAGGGGGAGAAGACATGACTTCATCGAGGATTTCAACATGGAGCGTGGTTGGTGGTGATGAATCCAAGCCCAGCGACATGACTTCTTCCAGGATCTCAACATGGACCGAGGCTGGTGGATCTGAAGCCACTGCCATGGACATTGACTCTGAGAAGAAGGAAGGTGCTGATGCTGCCCGGAAGGGTGTGCCAACTGACACCGCGGTTCCTGAGGCTTCTGCTTCTTCCGAACAGCCTGCTGACAAGACTGCCATTGTCGACCTGACCAAGACCGAGAAGAAGGTGGAGGTTGACAAGCCAGTTGGAAAGCCGGCCGAAAAGAAAATGCCGAAGAGTGAAAAGCAAAAGGCACCAGAGTCCAAAGCGCAGCCCAGACAGAAAGCGCCGCGACTCAGTGTCGAAGCTGATGCAGCCCTTCGCAAGTTGGAAGAAGCAACGGAACGCCAAGAGGGATCAGTATGGTTGGACCCCAATGACATGATCAACAGGATCCCCAAGGAGTATTGCGGCCAAGGGCGACTGAGATTTCTTTCCACAAAGTTGTCTTATGTTCTCCGTGGACACGCATTGAGCTATGGTGCTCGCAGCCCAGACATCGATCCCATGGATCTTTCGATGGATTTCGAGGCGGTGATGAAGACGATGGCCCACTACGTCTCCTACCCGAAGATCAGTGAGGTCCTGTCCATTGTGCGCAACAGTGACACCAGGCGCTTCCAGGTGAAAGTGGCCCAGCCCGATTTGCCTGAAGCAACCTGGAAGGGTTTGCCATGGAAGGTTGTCGCCATCAGAGCAGTCCAAGGACACAACCGCGCAGTGGTGGAAAATGCCAAGATTTCATCGCTGGTGAAGGAAGTGTTTACTCTGGATCCAACCTTCTCCAAGGCCGACCTCGACACGCCCAAGTTGCCAAGGACAAACCTTCGTCCAGACCTTGTGCCGGAGTTGATGGCTGCACTCCCAAGGGTTATCTACCATAGCTGCGACAGGCTCGCTATGGAAAAGATAGTTGAACATGGTCTCATCCCAGGTGGCTGGCCCCAAAGAACAGGAAGGGCGCATAATTTCTTTATTGCGTCGCATCCATGGGATGATTCAGTCGGTGGCAGAAAGCTCGCGGGAACGCGAGCCGGGAAGCAATATTACATTGCCTTTGACACCGAGCTCATCGTCCAAAGCGGCTGCCGATTGTTTCGCACAGACGAAGCAATCATAAGCCCTGACTGGATCTCCAACGAGAACATCATTTGCACATATGATGCTGTCAACCGGGAGTTTGCCTGGGTGAATCGCCCCTATGAGATCACACGTGTGGGGTACAACAGCAAAATGAAGACCCACAAGGACCAGGACACTCCGAAGAAAGAAGCCTTGTCCAAGAGCCCGTATGCCAACGCCAGGGACAGTCTGAAGGCCTACCTCATGAGCGGCAAGTCCATTCGACCAGGCCAGATGCAGATGACCGACTCTCCGGAGGAACTTCCCCCACTTCTTCGTCGACGTGAAGGAACTTCAGGACCCTTTGAAGACAAGGTGACGTTGAAGATGGCCTCTTTTGGTGCTTTGTCCAATGCTGAAACCATCCGCAAGGGCAAGGGCCGGGGAAAAGGCAAGGGAAAAGGAAGCCGCCCGGGAGGGCTGGCCCAGCGCTCAACAAATGCTGAGGATTACATCTACAGCTCAAAGATTGAGATGCAGCAGGTCAGATGCCACTTCTGCGGTGAACAGAACATTGAGGGCACCCACAAGTGTCAGTCGTGCTTCAAATGGCTGATTGCTTGGTCGGATGGAAGAATTGCGACAGAGGTATGCCGGATGGAAATCTCGGCCAAGAAAACCAATAAGGTGTTTTCCCTGGACAAGATCGATTTTGAGAAGCAGCCACGTGCTCAGCGAGTTTCTGACCGCACCCGAGCAGATCAACGTCGAGCTGGACGAAGTAACTTCGGAAATCTCAAGGACGCTGCTCAGACACATGCGGGAAGATACACAAAGCTCGGCTTCAAATCGATCCAGGACCGCATGGAGAAGGACCCATTTTATTTGTTCAACAATGCGGTTGGCCAGATAACCCCTGACTGTTGTCAGTTTTTGGAGGATCTGGCAAAATGCATTGCCCCTGATGTTGGCCGTACCCGAGAGAAGCGAGAAAAGCAGCTGGGAACAGGTGTCAGCACTCGTTTGATTTTTATGCCTGACTTCAACAGAGACATCCGACTCCCGTTGGACGTTACCAAGGAAGCCATGGTTGCACATCATGCACGTGTTTTTACACTCCCACAATTTGCTGTTCTTGCTGCGGACTTGCTGAAAGCGAGGGGGGAACCCACGCCGATGTTATTTGGTTGGTCTGGCTCAGTGTTACCTGTGGATCAGGCTTCAGCCCAAGATTGTTTCTTTGACCTCGTCGACTTCGCGAAGAGGCAGTGGAAGGAACAATATAATAACATCAAGGGTGAAGAGCACTCCTTCGTGGATGAAGCCACCGCATCAGATGTGGCTGAGTTTCCATTGGCAAGGTCCTCCAAGACGGGTACGGGCGAAGGGCGAGAGGGATACCGGCGTCACTTTGACCCGATCCAGAAGCCAGCCAAGGGCAAGGGCAAGGGTTATGGTCAGCAACAACGACCAATCTTTCAGCAGGCCATTGAGTGCTGGAAGTGCGGTCAGTATGGCCACAAATCCTTTGAGTGCCGCAGTGGATGGAACCGAGGGCAACAATGGGGTTCGTATGGATCTTACTCAAGCCGCTCGGGAGGGCAGGCCCAATGGCAAAGCTGGAATTGGAATCAGGGCTACTCTGGCAGAGGATGGACTGCTGATCCTTGGGGAAGATCTACAGCATCAAGCTCCTCAGCAGCTCCTCCGGAGCCAGTGCGGCCACCTTCAACAGCGACGCCTGTGCCTGACACAATTCCTGCTGCTGGTGACCCTGCCCAAGCAGCCTCTGGATCAGCTCCTGCAGCAGAACCTCCACAGCAAGTGCCGAGGATGCCGCTCGTGATTGCTGAGGAGTACTGCGAGATCAACGGCCAACCGCACTTCAAGCGCACCTACAATGATGGGACGGTAGAGTTTGAGTCGTGGTAGATGTTTCACATCTTGTGCCATGATTTTATGCCTACCGGAAGGTTTGGCCGATTGGATGAAAGCTGACCTATGGTCATTCAGTTCAATCGAAGTGCACACATTTCCAAACTTGAAACTCCAACTTGATTAACTTGAAAACTTTTCCCAATTGCTTCATAAAGACATTGACACCAGCATCCGATCCATTGCATTTGCTGCGCGTGTATATAGCCGTGTACATTAGCCTGATACAGTAGCTTTCAAGTTTCCAAGGCATTGAAAGGAGTGGTAATGCTCCTATGCCTTGGCGGAAGCCAGGCCGATGTTGCTTTTGCTTTGTCGACACATGCAGCCTGAGGATCCAAAATGAATGCACCCGATATCCTTTTATTTGCCTCATGCATCCGTAGAGCTGAGACTAGCATGCAGCCGGTAGTTAGGGTAGCAGTGATGTCTTGTGCCATGCCGATCGCTCTCAGGTCACCTCTGGCGATCGTGCTCGTTTGCCTCTCCGTCCTCCGTTAACACTGCGGGGCGGCGGGGGGTGTTTTTCACACGTATCACTGTATATACATACCCTTTTTCACTTGTACTACCGTGTTGCAATGGCTCAAGCAAAACAAGCGTAATTGCTGTGTCTTTCAGGTTGATTTACCTGTGAAACAAATGTGATGAAATATGATGAATATCAGTGAATATAAACGGAATTCAATGGGATTCATTTTCTGATGGCCACGGTGTCGCAACGCACAGGATGTGGACCAATGGCGACAACCGACAGTTCTGGTCGAAGAGCGTACTGCCGAATGCCCCATTTGCTTCGAGACACTGTGGACAGCGACACCCACAGCCTTTGTGAAATTGGTGGAAGGTGCAAACAGGGCGGGCCGGCGGCCCCTTTGCTCTTCTGGGTCTTTTCCCAGCATGTTTGCTAACCAGAAACTGTTGCTTCACACTTCGTAGCACTCATCTCTTTTTGTGGCTAGCAACTTGGACAATCTCGGGAATGTTGTGATTGCAGCGCAGACGACTTCGCTGGGTTTTGATCCGCTGATCAGATGATCAGAAGCTGTAGGCTCAAGACAAAGCGCATGTTGACGTTCAAACGAACTCATCCCAGTCTCCCGATTCTCGTGTTCTGTCAGCCAAATCCCCGAGTTTCTTACGCAACTGCATGAAAGCCAATACAAACAGTTACCGTCATCCAGCTGACGTTACATTCAATCCACACTGTCAGTACTGACAAATTACACCAGAGAAGATTCAGCTTCGATGGGCCAGGCGGCGCAGATGACAGTGATTTATGCCATTTTATGAAACTTTTATGAAACCATTGCATATCATTTCATGACAGAGAGTTTATGCCATATCATTGCATCGCTCTCAATGCTAACCACATCCCAGTCTTCAGTGCAGAATCTGAAAGAGACCAGTTAGACCAGGATCTGATTCAGGTGGGCAGCAGGGCCACCATCGAACGGCTTCCACTTTCTGATGGCCGCACCTATCAGGTGAGCGGGTTGCAACGTGTTCGCTCCACATCCAACTAGAACTAGAAGCAATTTTGGGAATTGTTTATTGCTTGGATTTATTTAATAATTTGAATTTATGTGGTGGATGTTGGTCCACCCAATTTGGTGACAAGGGGAGTATTTTCAGATGACTTTGCAGCCATGCAGGTGAGATGGCTGGAGCGTGGTGGGCTTGGCTACACACCATGGCCACCTAGCTGCATTGGTGGGTGAAGGTCTATTACGTCCCAGGGCTAAATTGCCAGCATTTTGGGATCGTCATCAATTCGTCGATTCGCGATATGCATCAACCCAAGGATTCCACTTACACCTGTGTCGCAATTTTTTGCAGGCCTGGGAGCTTCATGATGGCCAAGTTCTTGGACAACAAGAAAGATGAGCAGCTTGACTGACATGGAAACAATAAATTTCAGAACCCGGAGGACTAGTGGAACTACTATGAACTACTGAGATCCTTATGATGCAGATTGAAACAGCTTGGGGTTTGCAGCTCAAGCAACTCAAGTCGTGAAATATGGTGAAATTGTGTTTTCCAAGATGTTGCTTTAGTTTTCCAGGAGTTTCCAGATTGAAGGAAGGATTTTGCGACAGCAGTCAAAATCAATCTACAGTGGTTCCCCAAACAATCGCATAGTGATACCAATAGCCATGGATGCTACGTATTTGAGAAGGAGGCTACCAACGACTGTCCATTTCAGTCCCTCTGTCAGATGGTGCCGGTGAGGCTGGAGCTAAGCAACAAAAAGCTCTTAGAACTAGGCAGCGGCAGCTGCAGCGTTTTGCGCCCAGGGGTGCTTTTGGAGCAGTTTCTATCAGTTTCTATTCTGAAAACCGGATGCTTGTGGTTGATTGTCCTGCAGACAACTGAAGGTTGCGGGTCTTGCTGCGGGACTTCTGTGCAAGGAGGCACATTTTTTTTGAGCTGAGCTAAGCCATCCATTAATTGATTGCCAGTTGTTATGCTTCCATAGAGTGTATGCATCACCAGGTCATCGAGCATCCAGATATTCAGTCTCCTGCTTGAAAATCATAAGAAGCAGTAGATAAACGTAGATAAACAAATTAAACAATGATAAACACCTGATCAGTATAACGATCTTCCATATATCACCAGTTAAATTATAAACCATATAACCACCATACTGCTGATGGTTTACAATATAAACAAATTAAACAATGTATGGTGGTTGTATGGTGGTTATATCAGACATATATCACCAGTTTCAGCACAGGTAGATCTGACGGATCGCTATGAGGTCCTTGAGGACTTGGATGCCCCCTGTCCATAGCATGGGCTGAGTCGTTGGTTGTAGAATTCGTATGAAATTACTATGAAATTAGTGGCTTAACAATGGTTTATGGTAGATATAACTATAGTTAATGGAGATAATAATGGTTTATAAACCCACCTATAGCTGGGGGGGCCCATCCTGTATGAATGAGTTACGTTTTCCACTTGTCTTGGACTTACTATACCAATGAGATACAAGTCTACAAGCACTTTGCGGATTGGATTCCATCTAGATATTGTGTAGCGTGGATAAACAGATTCCTTCTTTTTGTTGCGATAACAAATATAATATGCCTTTCAAACTAAGGCCAGCATTCACTTTGCCTACCAAAACACAGATGCAGAGTTGACCGCTCAGAGAGAAGCATATTGACCGACATTGTCCGGACGAGGAAGGATTGGGTTATAGTTACGATAGTTATGCAGCAAGTTCTGCTGTTTCATCTCACCATGTCTCACCATATCTCACCATCGATGCAGTGTACGCTCAGATTGCGAACAGACTGGCGCCCGAGGCCATGTGTCAAAGCAAAGGCTGGTCTCTCAATCTCTCAGCATCTTTCAGCAAGCCGTTTCGGGTCATGGTGAAGCCTTTGTCCATGCCATTTTGTGCGACCTCGTAGAGTCTTGTCCAACTTCTGTTCGGTAATCCCAATCAGGGTAATGTTCACCAATTTGAGTCTTGAACTCTGGCACTGAACATCACTGAACCATTTCCACAATCTTTGCTGAATGGGCACAGAAGAGCACTGCTTTGCAGAGTCGAAAGATTGGTTAATTATCGCATTTTTGAAACATTTGGGATACATTTGGTTTAGGGTTTAGGACGTTTAGGCGTTGCTTTGTTCCATCTTTGAATCTTGGCAGGTCTTGGACTGGGTGGACCTGGAGTTCACTGAAACCGCCTTCAGACCTGGCCAGGCAGATGTGGTGATCATGAGCGACGTGGCTCGGATCATGGCAGATCTCTTGTGAATTCCAAGTCGGATCTGCCGGGAAATCGGGCCGAAATTCAGAGAGTTCACTGATGTTTTTTCTGTTCAGTTCAGGTCGTGTATTTCCCACATTTGCAAAAGCCTTTGCTGCACACACTGCTGTTCCTGTGCAATGTCCGGCTACTCAGCAGATCGGCAAACTGGGAAGTGTGGCGTTTGAGACTTGGTGATGAGCCATGACCAACTATGACCTTGTTTAGCATAGTGGTCAACATCCTCATACATCCTCGCTTGACTGAATTCAAAGGATGTTTGCTTCATTGGCCTGGATACATCCTCGCTGCTCTTGTCCAGGTTTTCCAGTTCATGTCGGTATATCCCAAAGTTGTGGAGTCCCTATATCATCCTGAATCACTAGAACTGATTGAATTTCTTTGGAAACACCATGACACACCAAAGCTGAATCAATCTGCAGGAATCCACGTTGGTGTTTTGGGCCAACTGCGATCGGTGGAAGTCTCAGACAATTTTTGGTGTTCGACTGGTAATCCCATGAGAGACTTGCAAAAAGTCTGATGATGTTTGATGTATTTTGATGTATTTTGATGTTTCATGCAGATCCCAACATATCCCAACATCAGCTGGATCCACCAGCTGGTTTCAGCTGGTTTCAGGTATCCAGAGTACGAACCAAACGTGGAGCACTTCCTGGAGGTCCTTGAGCCATTCTTCTCCATCACCGTGGAAGAGGCCGGGTGCATGTTCCAGGCCCCACGGCTTTGGGTCTACCAGATAAAGTTCACAGTTACCATATGTTGTGGCTGCCCCAGGAGCGGTCACAGAAAGGTTCTGGAAGCCCTTGTGAGGTACGAGAAGGCCGGAGTCAAGGTTGGAGATCAGATCTGGTTCAGATTTTGTTTGGGAAAGCTGAGCAAAATTCATCAAAATCCTATGTTTCGATCATTCTTTGACTCATCTCTTTGAATTAATCGGAGATAATTAATCAGAATTAACCTGTTTAGATTTAGAAAATGTGTTTGGATCGATTGAAATCTTTTTTGAATCCGTTCCTTCCTTCATTCCACCATTTCCTCTCCTTCGCTTCCACAGCGGCTTTGCATCGCTTTGCATCCCTGAGCCGTTGCCTGTTGAGGCACCATGACCTTGCGCTCCCTGCGTCTTTTGAACGTCAGAGTCTCAGAGTATTGGGGCATAGGAAGTAGGAACGGTGGACATCTAGGTTTAGCATGGTTTTGCAACTAATTTGGACCAGTCACGTTGATTTAGATGTTCCATGCCCTATAGATGTAAACGATTTCAGTCTTGACCTCTTGGGTTTAGATGTCCAGTCTCGCACTTTGCGCTAAGTCCGAATTGGCTGGGAACGAGTTGGCACGAGCAAAGGCGGATCGGCTAAAGTCAGGGCATTGAGAAATTGGCTCGCTGGAGCACCCGCGAAACTGACGAAGCTGACCCCGCAGGTCTTGGGGCCAACCGAGAAGTGCATCAAGCGATGCTTTTTCTGAGTAGCCAGTGGCCAGCAACAATACCGGTTCTCACCAAAAACCAATGGAAGTGGGAAATGAAGCATGAAGATTATGAAGACATTTTATGGAAGTATTCTTCTGTCAAAAGAAGTGAAGGGTTTGCATGGCACATTATTTTTGATTCGTACGATGCCAATATGGCGGTGCTTTTTCGTCTTGTGAAAATGCAAGATGGCATTAGGCAAAGTGCTCGTCCAAGCGTGAGAGCAAACGAATTTCTGGCATGACAAAAGTTGACGTCGCATCTTCTGGTTCTGGGGTTATTTCAACATTCAACATTTCTCCAACGAGCTACTCCCGGTGCCAATTCACACAAGATTTACCGGAGAAGCCTACACATTGCAAAAAGACTAACCTGCTTGTAGCTTTGCACGTTTGGTGATAAAGCTTCAGCTTTTTTTTGGTTGTTTGATCGGGCCTAATGGAACGTGCCTTGTGTGAGCTGATGCCGGCTGTGCCGGCCCTTACCCGGAAAGTTACAGCTGAAACAATCTCTGCTTGCACTCTTCCCCTTGCAGGTGCTGAGAGCATCTTCCATGTGAACTGTGCGCATTTCTTTTGCTTTGACTGTGCCAGCCAACAGTGCGGAGCTTAGCTCTTCTCTTTTTACTGCACGAAGTGGCCTTCAAGTGAGGCCCAGTCATCGCATTGCGGGACTCAGGACTCATGATGTGTTCCAACCATTTCCACCGCTTGAACGTGTGAGTGCGCACAGGTACATGAAGCAGCAGAGTCAACAGGTCAGCGAATACTTCTGCCCCATTTGCAGAGCTCAAGCGCATGAGGTGGGAGCTGGTGGGAGCAAGTGAGTGGCAGTTCAAGGATCTGAACAGACGACAAGACGAAGTTGTGAAGATTAGCAAAGGACTAGTTGTCAGTGGTGACATTCTCCCAAATTCAAGGTGGTGAAACATGCACAGTGGGATTTTTTGTCTATAGGCGATTCGGGAGCTTGTGCAATCTCATGCAGGTCATGCCTATGCCCGATATCGCTGTGAACCCACGGTTGTGGCAAAAGGCTCAGTTGGGCAGCTGGGTGTCAACGGTTACAGGATGCTGATCTTGGGCTGAGCTTCTCTGACACCCTGAGGTTTCAATTCCTCGATGTCACACGTTCAGGTGTGGTCGCTGAACGAACACTGAACGAGCGATATTTGTGGTGTCATTTCAGAAACCGTGCTGATGGTGCTGAAACATATTGAGACATATTGAAAATACTAAATACTATAGGGACCTTGCGCCAGATAGCACGACCAGTCTTTGTTGCATCTGTTTGTGAAATTGGCTATTCAGACAAACTTGCCGCAACAGGCTTTGGTCGTACCACTTTTTGACATGGATCGTGATGTCCGGGATGTGACACAGAATGACACCCGTTTCCTGCTCAGGGCAAGTGGATCAGAACACGGCAGTTCAAGCTTTGGAGGCCAGGTCCTACAGCCAGAGCACCCCTTGCCATTGCCCAACTATCATCTTGTCATCAACGAATCATCCATAGCAATTCCATAACAATCATAACAGGGATGATGTATGATGATGTTATCATCCTATCATCATCCTATGATATCCTATGATATCCTATGTTTCGATGAGGCAATGCTACCCATCGACACAGAGCGGTTGCATTCGGCCTTGCAAAACCAGGGGCTGGGATCTTGGTGCAGACTTGGCTTTGCACACCGTCAAGCTCATTGCACAGGAGTTGAAACACAATCTGCAAAGTCTCTAGGTGGATTTGTCAGATGGACAGTTGTTGGCTTCGATTTGCTGTGCAACTCCATTGGTCACAGTTGCAGATTTGAGTGAATCTGGCAACCTCCTCCCAGCTGTAAAACAAAATGGCTTTGAACGCATTTGCCATGACTTTGTCACTTTTTTTTGATTTCAGAGACCGCTTGACAGTTTTGTATTTACGTTCAAATACAGCAGGGTTCCATACTTTTACCTTCAAGGAGATTGGGACGTTGGAGTCTTCTGTAACCATATTCAAACCACCTGCTATCAGGTTTGCAGCGCCCTGGGCGAAGCAGGTTGGGATGCTGTAGTCGGTTGCCAGTGAAAGCATGATGGAGTAGAAGTGAGTTACAAGGAAAATCGAGAAAATGCGATGTGTATATAATATGTATATAGTATGTACACATGAACCCTACAGCAAGTAATACTGTGTTTGACATATTTTGACATTGTTTTTGCCCACTATTTTTGCTGTAACTCCAGTGATTGAAAGTGAATCCAGCAATATGAGACCCTTGGCTGAGTTTGAGCAGTACGAATCAGGACGCCATTATCGTTTTCTTACACGAAACAATCTTAACTGGTGTTTCTATGCCAAACTTTTGGTATGTTTCTATGCCATTATCTATATGACGGGTCTTGTTATAATCTTGTGACATGCCGTATACCCTGTATGGAAGCTGCAGCGACCTTCCAGGGTAACATCTCCGAGCTTCATTTCTGGATGCCTGGTGGGCTGTTGGAATGGTCGGCAGCTTGGAATGGCAATGCCGGTAGCTGGTGAAAATTGATGGTTGAAAAATGTTGAAAAATGTTGAAAATGAGGTGATGTTGCCTTGTTTGATTTTGTTTGATTCATACAAGATGATTTCACTGCTGTCGCCTCCGCTGCAAGCTGGTCTCTTCTTTAAGCTCTCTTGTTTGTCCATTTTGGGGGGGGAAGCTCTGTCCTTTTCCGATTGTTCCTTTGGGTCCTTGCCTTGCCCCCCTTTGATTTCTTCCTCTTTTCGCCTCTTTCCTTGTGGTTTGGTTTTCGCCTAATGTCTTCTCTCGTTCGTGCTGTCCTCTGTTGTTTCCCGTGTTCCCTTGTGTTTTTTACCCTCGGTCTCTCCCTCCCTCTCTCGCTCTCTTCTCTTGTTTTCCTTCTCTCCTTTGCCTTCATTCTCGCTTCAATTTTCTCTGTGCTGTATCTTCAAGCGTGTTCCTTTTCCTTTTCTCTGGCGTCCTTCTTCTGCTCCCTGTCTGGTCTCTTTGTGCGATTTTCGCTTTTCATGTCTTCCTTGCTTTTCTGACATTTTAATTGTAGTTCTCATGTCATCTCTAACGTCCTTACCTTTCTCTTACTTCTTCTCTTTCACTTGTTTTACTGTGCTTTTCTTTCTTCATCTCTAATTATTTGCCTCTTCATCTTGTTCTGCTCTTGTGTCGTTCTCTTTTTGAAAGCTCTTGTTCTATGGAATTGTGTTTTCTTGCGCATCCTGTCTGTCTTGTACGTTTCTCCGGTTTTGTTTCTTTTGTTTTTTTTCCTGGCACTTTCTGGCTTGCGGTCTCCACGTTTTCCTTCATCCATCCATGTTCCTGTGTCTCCTGTGCTGTCCTGCCTAGTTCGTGGCGCGCTTCCTTCTCTGAATGTTCGTGCTCTGATTTCTGCGTGGTGTCTATTGCTTCTTGAGGGTCTCCTTGTTCCATGTTGATTCTTGTTGCGCTTTGCTGTGCTTTGTTCTGCTTCTTGTTCTTGTTCTTGTTGTTGTTGTTGTCGTTGTTGTTGTTGTTGCTGTTGTTGCTGTTGCTGCTGCTGCGTTCTTTTTAATCCTTTGTTTTTCCTTCCAGGGGTTGATGGATTTCAGGATTTTTGATGATCAAAAGGGCGGTGTGTAAAACATTCCACGAATTGAGTTGAGAAGTTGAGAATGCAAAGTTGGATGTCACTGCTGGTCCTTCAGGGTACGAGCTCATCAGCACGATCTGGACCGTGCCAAAGATCGTGGCAAAGCCCCAAAGTGTGGCCCTTGGAGCGGGACGCTCCGACGCCAGCGTCAAGGATGGAACCATAAAATAGATTTGAAGTAGATGGCAGGAGTGATGCATATTCTTATGTCATATATAATATAGTAATATACACCTAACTATTACATCTTCATTCTTTTTAAAATGTATATATACACATGTAGCAAACTTGTAGATACATCTATACATCTAACATCTATAATATGACCATATTGCATATGTTCCCATTTCACTATAGATAGTTTTTCCTTTTTTGTCTCTCTCTCTCTCTGTATATATATATATATACATTATATATGTATATACTGCGAATAGAGTGTAGGCTACGGATCGCTGTATATTTGCACAATCATGCACTCTAATATCCAGCACCAAAGGGGCGTTCCATGACTGGCCTCTTTGGCTCAAGACCCACTGCAGCACTGGAGAAAAGAACAGCAATGCGGAAGCAGCTGCCCTTGTAACGTCGTCACTGGAACATTTATCCTCAACATCAACCACCGGAACATAATCGGGCGGGCAATCCCCGATTCGCAGGTTATCAGCCGTAGGACTCCTACGGAGCCTACGAGCGGGTAGCCGCGGGCCTTACAGATGACTGAACAGGATAGCAGCGATAATGCATTTTCTTTCTCTGGACATGCCGTTGCACCAGCTGCCGGCACGCAGTCAAATTCTTCACAGAGTATCGACACTGGTGGAAGCGATGCCTCAGAATTGAGAACAAGCCAACCCAGGCGACATCTGGTTGCTCCTAGAGGGAGACAAATTTCGACAATGCAAGCAATTGAAGATAGGGACAGCACACCTGGAAAGAGAAGATCATCTGCACGACAATTGTCGCCTCCGATGACTCCAAGGACTAAGGCAAAGACTACGTCGTCGAATCCGCCTTCACCGATTCAGGACGCTACTCCATCAGGGACAGGATCTTATCAACAAGTGAACGCCCCGTCAAGTGGTAGCGACATCTTCACTGCCTATCAGAGTGAATTAGCTGAATACAAGACATCACTGGAAAGGGCCACTGAAGAAGAATCCGTACTTCAGGCAAGATTGAGCGAGACGACAGCATATGCCTATCAACAATTTAATTTCCTGGAAAGCACCACTCATCAAGAGATGATGTCGATGACCGAACAACTCCAGATGCTGAACTTCGAGTTACAGGCTGCACAACAAGAAGACGAAGGTGCGACCTACAGGATCGAAGAGTTGGAAAGGTATCAGACTATGTCGAATGAAGCCGCATCTCATTTGGAATTCAAATATTCACGACTACGTTCGGAATTCGATGAACAAATGGGACAAGCAAACGCAATTATGGTACATGTGGGAACTGACGCGAATGCTCACATCAATCAACTTAGACTGGAACTGGAAAACGCAGAGATGAATGCCAAGCAAGAAGCTCTAGCGGTCGGCTACGCCAATGACCAAACATGTGCTTTACAGATCGAGATGCTCGAGGTTGCCAATCAAAACCAGACGATGAAGCACACCATGGCCATGAATGTCAGGCGACTGGAAACTGAGTTAGATGCTGCTGACATGAAGAGGGACGAGATCATGAAGGAGTTCCGTAGTAACATAAGATCTGAACATGACCGTTATGCAGAATGTGAACATCACTTAGCTTTGGAAGAATCACAGCTTCGATTACAGGTGATCCACAGTGAGAACTTACAATCTCGACTAGCGATTTCTGAGAACAGGGTTTCTGAAGAATCTCTAGCTGAATCAGGCGGCATGCGGGACATGAGGATAATGGGACTACGTTCTGAACTACACATGAAACAAAGTCTTTTAGATCGAATGCAACAACAACTGACTGAATCGAAGAATCAGTATCATGAACTTTCCTGTCAACAAGCCAGAAGATCTTCACCAAGCAGATCACCGCATGGAGGACCTCTATACGAGATGTATATGCAAGCCGTGCGTGAGCGTGACAGCTTGAAAGAATCCAAGGCTGAAGTTGACAAGTTGTACTTGCAGAACAGAACTGAACTCATTGACACTGAGGACCTGCTCAAAGTCTTCCAGCGAAACTTCGATGAAACTGGTAAGAAATATCAAGATGCTCTGAACAAGATGGATCACATGAGCAACAACCCGAATGTGACGAGTGACTTGTTCGACAGTTTGCACAACGAACTCAATGACAGGGACACAGCTATTGCTCGCCTTCATACTGAACTTGAAGCCCAAAAGGACTCTCTTGAGCGTGCTCACAGGGATGCAGGTAAGTCCATCAAGGTGTTAAACGACAGAAGACTCGTGATCAAAGGTGCGACTGACTATTCCATTCCCGAAAGCCATTTGACCGAGATGCATCAATTGGCCAATGAGCGTTTCGCTGAGGTAGAAGAGATGTCGAGCACTATTGCTGCCCTGAAGTTGGAAAACCAAGCTCATTCTTCTTCATCAATGAATAGACCGACTACATTACATGGGTACCCCAGTAGTGCTATGCCTCGGAATGAATGTGAAGAGAAGTGTGCCAAACTGAAAGCAGAGTTGGACGAGATGAAGCAAGAGAAGAACAATGAAGTTCGAAATCTTCAAGATGAGTTAAAGAAGATGGAAGATCGGAAAGATTATTACAAGAACAATTTCTCTCAAGCTGAAGATCGTGCCAACGATGAAGAGCAGGAATACCGAGCAGAAGCTGAAGCCTTCGAGAAGCTCAGGAACGAGTACAACACCAATGTCAAGGAGTTGGAGAACCTTGAAAGGGATAGATCCAAGTCATCCGTATCTCTAAGAGAAGCCGAAAAGATTAGCCTCCAGCCCTGGCCTAAGACCACTGAACTTTCATCCTGGAAGGGAAGTGTTGTTCATGAAGTTTGCGTTGCAAGTGGAGATCGAAACTATGAAGATTGGAAAGCATGGCTAGCTCCGTGTCTTGCAGATCAGCCTGACTTGGAAACTCTGGCCAAAGCTCCTGATGTGAGATTCCAATCCATTGATGCCAAGCTCTCCAACGCCTTGAGGAAAGTCATTGACAATGCTGGGGACAAGTCTATGCAAGTGAAGTATGACATGTCCATGAAGAACCAATTGTATGGGAGAAGTGGGGACTTCATCAAGGGACGAGAACTATTTGCAATGATATTGATCAGCTTCAAGTCACCTGACCACACTGAAGTTCTCTACAATGCTGACAATGCCCATCATTTGTATATGTTCAACTATTATGGAGATGACCAACTTGAGGCATTTTACAACAAGTGGCTTGACATCGTATACAATATGAAACATGATGATCTGCCTTCCAACAATTCCCTGCGTGACACATTATTCCGGAAGATTGAACATTCAAAGCTTATGGCCTTCGATATCAACCGATACAAAACGTTTGATGAAGGGCATCATGAGAAGACCTATGCTTATCTAACTGGTATGATCAAGGGATACATAGCACGAGGGAAGCAAGAACGACTGTTGAAGGATAGAGAACGTGCAGTGAAACTGTCATTGTCCTCTAACAAGACGACACCTGCCTTAGAAGATGCGGACAAGCCTGCCGCTCCCGTCAAGACCAAGAAGGAGAATGAAGCAGCTGCATCATCTACAGGTGATCCTCCCAAACGTCCTAAGGCGAAAGCGAAGAGTGAAGCTGCATCGGTACTTCCTACACCTTCTCCGAAATCTCATGCCGACAAGAACAACAAGAAAGGCAAAGGTGGAAAGGGGAGATCATCTTCACCCGTTGACAAGAAGAAGATTTTCTGTAACTACTTCTTCAATAAAGGAGGATGCAACAAAGGTGACAAATGTCTTTACAGTCATTCTCAAAAGGTCTATGATGCCAAGATGAAAGGTAAGAAAGGCAGAAGTGGAAGTCGAGATTCATCAAGAGGGAAAGGTAGAGGAAGTTCATCTTCAGCTGGACCCAAAAAGAAGGTATGCTGGAATTGGCAAGAGGGTACCTGCAAGTTCGGAAGCAAATGTAAATTCCTACATGCAGATAAATCGCCTTCAGCATCCTCAGGGAGAACCAGCAAGAAGACACCAAAGAAGAAAGCAACTCCCATTACCATTGATTCCTTCTTTGATAGCGACAATGAAGATTCCATGGATTATACCTCATCGAGGATAGCCAGCGCAAAGAAGTCTTCTGATGATCGCAGGATCTCATTTGATCTGGAACCTGAAGTGCACGAGATCGCCATTGAGGACTACCCGGAGGGACTTCCCAAACGTATGTATCGTGACCCCAACAAGCAATATGTCTTCTGGAAAGTCGATGATTTGACCGACGATCAGTCCAAGTCCGACAACACCCTCGGTTCAGTCCGAGCACGGGCCAAAGCTATCATCATGGACAGATGTGGACTCCATCGTTTTGTTGATGAAGTTAGAATCATTATTGGCCCCAAGTTCGACATGTTAATCAAGCTGGACAATGATCGTGATGACTTGACTTTTATTGAAGAGCTTGTTGAGCACGAAGTTGGAAACTCCCTCATGAAGCCCAAGAATGTAATGTGCATTTCACTACCAGTGCAAGCCAAAGATCGTAGATTCATCCTGGATTCTGGCAGCGGACATGATCTGATTTCTGCAAGGAAAGCCGAAAGGATGAACTTGAAGCAGCGAACTTGTGATCCTATTATGTTCCACACAGCCAACGGCTCAACTGCTACTCAGACGGAAGCAGAGATTGACCTGGGAACCTTTGATGTGACCTCTCATGCCTATGTACTGGACGACACTCCGTCCGTGATGTCTCTTGGGAAACGATGCATGGAAGAAGGATACTCCTTTGTATGGCCATCTGGTCAGATGCCCTTCATGATTACAAAGAATGGAGAACGCATCGATTTGACAATCCACGACAACATCCCCTACGTTGATCTTGGAACTTACGAATGCACTCCTCATGAATGTCATCATGCATCAAAGATCCATGACCTACTGACACATCCTCAAATCGGATTCAACGACTTCAACGACATTGATGATGTTGATCAGCCCTCACGAAGAG